TTTCATAATCAGTTTCTCATGCTAACCGTACGTATGAAATTACATATTTTACAAATTTATTCAGTTATGGTCCCCATTTCTGAGTAAACGACCGGAACGTAAAAAATACAACAAAGTAATAATAAAAAAACAAGACAGCTTTGAAGAAAGAGAGGCTCGATATCATCGTTTCATTGATAGAGCCGTTTGTTAATTTTTTTAAAATTTGTTTAAGTTTTCTTGTTGCCGCGGCGGTGGGCTTTGCCTGTTTTTTGGTGGTAGCCCATTTCGGTTTTTTAGATTCCTTGGCCTTTAGATTTTTTAACTATTGTAGCCGGTTATCGACAAAGTATTATTAATTATTACAATTTGCATTTTGCACCAGAAAATTTGATTTTAGTGAAAAAATAGCAATCGCATAAAAGCCTAATAGCTTAGGCAGAAATGTTGCAACAGTTCTCTTCAGTCTACATACTTTCCTGACAAAAATGAAATTTTTCATAATCAGTTTCTCATGCTAACCGCGTAAACCGTGCGTATGAAATTACATATTTTACAAATTTACTCTCTTATGCTCCCCATTTTTAGGTAAACGAGCGGAACGTGAATAAAAAAAGACAACGGAGTAATAATAAAAAACAAGAGAGCTTTGAAGAAAGAGAGGCTCGATATCATCGTTTCATTGATGGCTCTGAGAAGAGCCGTTTGTTAATTTTTTTAAATTTGTTCTCGTCATCAAACTGAAGTTTTCTTGCTGCCGCTAGTCTTCTTTTTGTTGGCCGCGGCGGTGGGCTTTGCCTGTTTTTTGGTGGTGGCCGATTTTGGTTTTCTAGATTCCTTGGCCTGCTGTTTTTTAACTATTTTAGCCGGTTTCTTTGGAGAAGCGATCTTTTTGGCGGCCGCAGGCGGTTTCTTTACGGCTTTCTTGACACTGGAAGTCTTTTCGACTGGCTTCTTTGTGCTGCTAGATGCCGTTGCCTTTTTAGCCGGAGCCGCCTTTTTTGCAACAGACTTTTGACGTTTGTTTGTCGCTTCCGCCACTTTTGTAACTTTTTTTGGCGAGGCAGCCGCTTTGGTTTTTATGGCGACAACGTCTTTTTTCGGCTTGGCGACAGTTTTGTTGGTATCTTTGGCGGCACCGAGGCGGAAACTGCCTGAGGCTCCAGATCCTTTCGACTGCTTTAGCGTTTCCGACTTGACGCCATTCCTCAGGGCTACTTTGAGGTGGGTGTTGACGGAGTGTTCGTCGCTTCCGACCTTGAAGTTTGCCATGAGGTACTTGAGTATGGCCTGCCTGGACGATCCGCCGCGTTCTTTGAGAGCGACGAGAGCCTGGCGAACCATTTCGTTGTAGGACGGATGTTCTACGACTTTTTTTGTACTTGCGGCGGCCGCTGACTTTTTCTTGCCACCGGCGGCAGATTTTTTGGAAGCGGCTGTCTTCTGCGCATCACCTACATCGGCGTTAGATTCGACGTTAGCAGACATTTCGCGATGAAAAATTTAGACGAGACGGGGGAGATAGAGAGAACGCGAGGTTAACTGAA